TCGTGTTTCACATTTTTAATCCCGCAAGGGATTGCGCTAACAGCTTTTTTTATGAGAGCACATAAAAGGCTGAAATTTTGGGTATGTACCTAATTCGAGTAGGGCTACTCACTGTCAAACGATACAGGTGTTCGTTGATTAAAAAAATCAGTGTACATTGGAAATTTTTTTTATTGTTCAACCGTTTTGGGCGTTCGTGGAGTCAATCCAGCGAGCTCTATCTACTGATAATATCAGCTCTCGAGTTGGGGGTGTTCGCTTGTTTTGCAAATATCCCCACAAATCTAATCTCTACATGATACACATCAAACCCAAACCCAATACAACCCAGTCAAGCCTAGGGTTTGAGTTTGACTGGGTATGAGTGTGGATGTGGATAGATGTGGGGTGCGGATGTGGGTGTGGGTGCGCGTGTGGATTGTGAAGTCCCACAAGCATCTATACCCACACCCATCTTCATATAATAGCCCATGGAAATCTATGGGTGCCTCCATATGATAGCCCTTGAGGATCTATGGATACCTCTATAGTATAGCCCATGAGGACTTCTGGGTACGTCCATAGGGTAACCCGTGAGTAGGGTGTAGGGGTGAGTGTGGACGTTACTTAAAAGTTCAATCCATTCAATTGGAACTAGCGGGATCCGACTTCTATCTTGTCGTATCCTGTGATCGGATCCGAACTCCATAGCCGAACTTCAAACAGCCGGATCTGGGCTTCGTAACCAGACCAGAAACTACAGTATACGGCTCGTATCCTGTCGCCGTCATAAGTCGCTGGAACCGTACTGGAAACAGGCATGCGTATCCGGCCATCGCTTCCGGACTCCGGAACTCACGGAAATTAAGCAGGAAACGAAGGCCAGAACCGATTTTGGAATACTGCTACCCTGAAATCGCTGAAAATTCACCTGATCAAGCGGTTTTCTGCCGTACGTCTTGGACCTGGGTGGTGTAGCATCAGCATGCAAAAAATAATAAATTGTCGAATCACTTATCTATGAGTGTAGTTCTGTTTGCCATCTATATACACAATCACACCCAATTCGTCACAGGACCATTCGTGGCACGAACAATTCTTTGCAATCACATGAGCCAATCAAAATTAATATCGATATTTCAACGGTCAGACAACTCATTCGATTATGTTTGACTCATGTAATTCAATGCCCATAAGAATTATGAGAAATGCAACTAATGACTAAACTTTAATTTTTTGATTTCGGCATGTCGACTACAAAGAATCCTAGCAAGAAAAAAGTCGAATTTGTCTCCTCCATAATTAATATTAATAGGACGTCAAATACCTTCGATTACAATGTATCATCAGAATTCTTCTTGACATTCTATGAATCAATAACTCAATTCGACTAGTTTTATATATATATATATACAATGATTTGCAAAAAAGCTTGGAACAAATGTTTAGCTTGTATCACGAACTAGTTCAACTTCTTTCAAGAAAAATATTTCTCTGTTAAAAGAATATTAGTTGATAGTTTTAGAATATCTGATTCGCGATTTTATTCCTCTTCCTTCTAATTCTAGAACTGCAAGATATCTGAGTTTTAGGCTATCAATAAAATGGATTACAACTTTTTCCACATTAATAATTGAAACAATATAATTAGCGTGAAATTATGCTATTGAAAATAATAAAACTAAATCTTTCACATCAGTAATTGAGCGATTATTTAAGTAACACTTAATTATTTCTTCAAAAGCATGGATCTGGTTTTAGGCATTATTCGGGATGAAGAATTCGTTTCCGATTATTTAATCCTCAGTATTTTAGAAGCCTTTAGAATCTAAGCCTTTCAAATCAGGAACTAATTCTATATAACAGTATCTTCATTGATCGATGGAGTTTTCTAACAAAGCAAATTCTCATGTACTAATAATATAATGTAGACGTATCATTCGCTGTGAGACTATATGCCATTGTTATCTCAGATTAGTATCGTACTAGAATAAAATGGAATCGGATCAAACATATAGATATTATTCGTGGCTAATCTGCTTAGTATAAACCTGCAATAATTGTAAAACAAATATTCGATACGGTTTAGAAAGTATTACATGTTTATATAGTAAAACTGTTCCACATTTTTTTTGCTAACTATTGTTTATATATATATAATAACACGAGTTGGTCCCTAAAATAATAGAATTTATACGTCAAACCCGAAGATTTCAAAATAGAAATTCGTTTAAAGTTTTTGATGACTTCAATGCTGCTCTTCTTTATTGAACGCTAAATTTTGTTCGTCTTTCCAAGATATTTTCTCATTGTCAGAAATCTTGAACTGCAGCATAAATTTTAAAAAATGTGCATTTCTACTTCCACTACCATAGGGAAACTCTTATGACTTGTATAGATCGAATAAACTAACTTCTTATCGGTAGAAGAAGGCTCTTATACTGTACCCAATCAAAAATCGAAGTTTAGTTATTAGTTATATTTCTAATAATATCTATGTTCATCGAATTACATTTGTCAAACTTAAATGAATAAGTTGCTTGATTGTTGAAAAATAGATAATTACTAATTTTGATTGATTTATGTTATTGTAACGGACTGCCTTTCAACGAATTGTGCGTGCGACAATTTGTCCTAGCATCGTTTTGTAGAAAGTGAAAAACTGCGTCGATCTATGTTATTTATCTTGACGTCCACATTAAAACACAACAAAAACTATAGACATTACGATTATCATCCAAAAAACTGAATACCTACAAAAAACCCTATAATTCTCAAGATAAAGCAATCTTCGAAAAACTTTTTTTTCTGTCCAAGAAAAATGAAAACTGAATTTATCAAAAGGTGTAGAACTTTAAACTCTGTCTTTCTATCATATTGAAAATGAAGACTAAGAGATGGCAGATTTAATATGAAATCTTTCGGTATGCTTTAAATAGCTCAAATCCCGTTAGATTATCAAATGTAGCTCCATACAATTTTTATACAATCATAGAGACATCATCTATTTTAATATTTTTTCGGAAATCGTTTGCAGAATCTGAAAGATATTGGTTTAACATAAGTAAACAAAAAGAAGTCTCTTCAATTGAAAATTCGTAAGATAAGGATAGGCATGTGAATGTAACTGCAGGTGCAGATGTGTTGCTGCGATGTGCATGCGGATCCAATGGGTACTGTGTACCTTGCTCCCAGTGTTGCTAAGCTGACTGCCACAAATACGCTGATGTCCCACCTCGCACCAACAGCCATATTCATACTCACACTCGCCCGATCGCAATAGCAACTTCCGAGTTGCTAAATACAACTGGAATTTATAGCATCGCTCTTACAAACACCGCAACTCCGATTCAACTTCTCCATCTCAAGAAAGAAAACGATGAGGGTCCTCATCAAAATTAGCATTTCAACAATTTTATTTTTGCAGAATAAAAGATAAAACTACTAAAATCCGTTTCTTAAATTTTCAATGTTTCTTTTCACAAGTACCAAATGAGGATGAGTAGAAGGCACCGACTTTCTCAAAATCTCCAGTGATCTTTCGTACGATGAAAGTGCTTTCGAGTACTCGCCCATGTGAGAATACACCGTAGCGATGTTGTTGCAGGAAGCAGCCAAGAAGGGATGATTGTGAGGGAGAGCTATTTTGTAAATTTCAAGTGATCTTTCGTACGATGAAAGTGCTTTCGAGTATTCGCCCATCTTATCATACACCATAGCGATGTTGTTGTAGGATTGAGCAAAGTCGGGATGATTTGGAGGGAGAGTTATTTTTCGGATTTCAAGTGATCGTTCTAACGATGAAAGTGCTTTCGAGTACTCGCCCATATGAGAATACACCATAGCGATGTTGTTGTAGGAAGTAGCCAAGTCGGGATGATTCGGAGGGAGAGCTATTTTGAGGATTTCAAGTGATCTTTCGTACGATGAAAGTGCTTTCGAGTACTCGCCCATCTTATCATACACCCCTCCGATGTTGTTGTAGGAACTAGCCAAGGAGGGATGATTCGGAGGGAGAGCTATTTTGAGGATTTCAAGTGATCTTTCGTACGATGAAAGTGCTTTCGAGTACTCGCCCATGTTATCATACACAATAGCGATGTTGTTGTAGGAAGTAGCCAAATCAGGATGATTCGGAGGGAGAGCTATTTTTCGGATTTCAAGTGATCTTTCGTACCATGAAAGTGCTTTCGAGTACTCGCCCATGTGAGAATACACCAGAGCGATGTTGTTGTAGGAAGTAGCCAAATCAGGATGATTCGGAGGGAGAGCTATTTTTCGGATTTCAAGCGATCTTTCGTACGATGAAAGTGCTTTTTCGTAGTCGCCTCGTTGGTCTTCGATTCTTCCTTGGCTATTCAGGACAGTCACTCGCTCTATGTCCGTGGAAGATGTGGCTAGTAGGTGATCACAAATTTCCTGCGCTGTTTGGTAGTGGTGAAGGGTGAGCATCAAGTGAACCATGCGATTCCAGCCATTCTCGCTGATATCATGCCGTATAGAGTGTGTAAGAATAGATAGTTTTGGATCATCGTCGTGGGTGAGTATGAGTTGTACTTCGTACAGGTTGGGATTGTTGAGGACCTGTTTGATTTCGTTGACACGAAAAATCGTATGCATAGAAAAGAGGATTTCTTCTTCGTTCTGAAACGAACCCATTGTTTGGACGTTGGCGAAGGGAGTTCTTGAAACTGAAGGTGTGATATTCATTATGAAAAGTATACCGACTAAGTTAGCGTCTGATGTGTTACTTTCGGCGAATGCTAGGGATACGTCTTGATTTCGGCTGGTGGATAAAAAGTTGTTAAATGAGAGGAGACCACCCTTGGTTCTTTTAAATTTCTGGAAATCAGCTTTGGATAATCCTTGTCCTCGGTATACGGTAAAAGGTTCATTGTTTGTTTTTGTAGACTGTTCTTTTTGTAGTTGTTCGAGTTGGCAGTGAAGATCTCGAATGAAAAAACTCATTTTCTTCATTGTTAGAGTATCCAATGTTCGAAGTGACCAATTAACCGTCTGGTAGATGAAAAAGTCACGAATATACCAGGAAATTGACGTCTCAGGACTGTAATTCTTCTCAAACTCACTGATAGTATCCAACGTTGTCTTATTGTTGTTAGATTTTTCTCGCCAAAATTGAATAAAATCTGTGATTTCTTCTTGTGTGTGATTGACTTCAAGTGTAATTTCTTTAAATAGCTGTGTGTACATAAATGAGGGTTCTATTTGATCTAGATTAATTTTCAAACTATCTTCGTCGATGCTGACAAAGCTCATAGCGATATCGTTTTTGTAACATCGTTTGATGGCGTCTAGTAGTGCTTCACAGAGACGGTTGATATCTATGTGCATACCTTTAATTTTGCTGGAATTCTTTTTCCAATCGTGGATTAGGGATTCTGTGCTGCAGAATATATGCACACTCAGAAGACTAGATATATCATCCACGATAGGTATAATGTGTTTATCTTTAGGATTTGACAGAATGAGAAATGCCTTTTGATCATTGATGTCAGTGAGAAAATCTATACCTTCATCGGATGTGGTGAAAATATATACTTGATCGGTCACGCGTCGCAGCTTGTTAGTGTATTTTTACATTTTTCATTGTTTGAATGAATGTTCTCGTCGATCCAGATAATTACATAGTTTTCAGTTATGCATTGTGTTGGTTCCATAACACACGATAATGTCGTTGCAATTGTTACGGCATCTGTTATGGATGTAGAAAGGGTTTCATTCTGCTTTTGCCCATCCATTTTGAATTTATTTGCCACTTTATAACTAACCAACAATGGAGAGAAGTTGTTTGAAAGTCAGTCGGAAATATTTTTTTTCTATTGATCCGATAAGAGTCGTTTTTCTTGACTTTTTTACAACATCAAATGTGCTTTTGTTTGCCGATGTTTAATATCGAATTTCAGTAGTCGTAAAAGAAAATTATGTTGTAAAGAAAAAAATGATAAGGTTATACAGTGTCGTAGTGTATTGTATTGCTGCTCTTCAGCGATTTAAAAAGAACCATTTTTCTCCCTGATAAGAACGAAAAAACAACACTGTTATGTGTGCTTTGATTGTTTTCTTCTTTCTAAAGACATTATAATCATAGAAACGAAAATATCACAAATAATATCAGTCTTCTTTTAGATCAGCATTGAAAACTTAATTTTCTGTTGACTCAATAGGCGATTTGATGCATTCTATTAGTTTTCAGGAAACTCTTTTTTTTGTGGACTTTATTTGGAACAGGGCATAATGGGCATAATGGACATAAATTGGATTTCCAGGGAACTCCTTTTAAATCCTCGAAAAGAACCTACCACACGTCTCTAACAGCTCCTCCAAGACTATAAACAAAGCTCCACAGCGAAGTAATAATCACTAAACTGGTGTAAACCATTTTCCGTGCACTCACTGTCCACTTTCCACGATAGCATTTGCACTTCCAAACAATACTTCTACAATTCCTCGAGTAGACCTCCACTTTTCGCACCATCCACATCAACGTAGACGTGATTACATGTCTTCGGAGAGTTTCCTTAAAAATTCAATTCAATACCGACGCAGAAGATACAGTAGATAAAGAAGATGTAGGATATGAAGGAGATATAGAGATATGGGTGGCGGGATGTTCGCCAATAAGACATTCATCAATGGCGAAAGTCCTGGTGATATATTGACGAAAGTACAGTGGACTTTCGTCCATTGAAGAAGTTCCAGGGAATGTATTGGCGAAATTCCATAAGGTGTATTGACGAAAGTACAATGGACTTTCTTCAATGGCGAAAGTCCTAGTGGTGAAAGTTTTATTGGCGAAATTTCGGAACCCCAGAGATATAGGAGATATAGTAAACAGTTATTTATTTATTTTGATTGTTTCTTCGAGCAACCATCGATAAGTTGCATGAATATATCAGAATAGAACACTATTAAAAGTCAAGCGCTATTTACGGATTATCTGCACTGGTTACCCCATATCTTCTATATCCCTGTATACCCTATATTCCTAAATCTTCCATACCTTCTCCGTCGATATTTAATTGAGTTTCCGGAAAAACTCTCACAAAGCATCATATAGCAGGAATACAAGGTATCAGAGGGTACAGGAAGTGCATAGTTCGTATTATTTGATGCTAGGGCTACTATAAAGCAGACGCATCTATCCATGATTCCAAAAATAATCTCTCAATATTAAAAATAGGTAAGACTACAAATCCATTAAAGAAAAATTCTTCCATATATTTTCCAGAAAACCACTTATCCCAGAAAATGCAAGAATTCGTCTCCAAAATAACTCTGCACCCAACGAATTGAAAACAAAACAAAAACAAAGCGTCCCATAACCCCATGCCACGTTTATCATGTAACTCTATGAGAGCTACATCAGCTCTAATCTTTCTAGATTTTCTGAATCGGGTTTCTCTTTTCAAAGCCACTAGTGTATGGCCAACACCGCAACAGTTCAACAAAACCATCCTCACGCGCTACAACTACTTTCACAACACTACTCCAAATATGACACGTATGTGAAAACATCTCTGACCAATGTCTGACAAGACAATCCGACACTCAACTATCAGGACGCTCTCGTGAGCTTTACACAGCACCCGTAGCATGCACACATGCTCAGGTACCCTTTCCAACTGTTGTAAACCGTCTCATCATTCCCCCCATACACAGATCAGCTGCAACCTTGTAGACCGCTTACCGAGTACTCCATTTACGAAGCCCACAGAGCCCCCGAGGTAACGTGTCTTCTATTGTTCCCAATACTTTCACGACCAATCATTTTCTGATCACTCCTTTCGCGACACCTACAGCAAGTGCGATGTGATGTGTCCTACTGTTCTCAGTTCTTTCGCGACCAGTCTTTTGGCGGCACCCGCAGCAGCTGCGATATGACGTGTGTCGTATTGTTCTCAGTCCTTTCTCGGCGAGTCGTTTCGCGGCCTATCGCTTCATGAATTGTCCTTCCGCTATCCGTTCTTTCGTAGCACTCACAGCTAGGGAAGGCACGTGAGTCGTTTTGTGGGATGCGCAGCTTGACAGACGCGTGAGAGTCGTATTGAGTCACCCACACCTTGGCGCACCCGCACCGGCACCCACATTGACAGTCGACAATATATTTGGAAACCTTAGTCTGCATTTCCGTGGTATGATCTTTGTGTTTTCGGAAGTCGGTTTTTCTTGGGTCGAGTTTTTTATTTTGGGAAAGCGAAAGTGTGTTTTTCGGAAATTCATTTTGGGTTTCCGGAAATGTTTCTAGTGCGGAAAGACAATTTGTCTTTCCGGAAACCCATTTGGTGCGGAAAGTCTATCGACTTTCGTGGAAAGTAATATAAGGCATCATATGGTGGCTGTGGGTGTGGAGTGTGGGTAACTCTTGTATAGCTATCCACATCCGCTCACTCACTCACACCTACACCCTAATCAAATGAAATCAGTCATATAAACCTAACGCAAAATTCAATTTTCGGATATAGTGCATTTTGAATTTCTACTACTCTTTCCGCTAATTCTTCATCTTGTTCCGTATAACCTATAGTACATTCAAAGTTATTGTTCTCAAAATAACACATGTATAGGGTGTAGATGTGGGTGTCTCACCGAAGGTAGAACATCCACACCCTCGAAATGCGTTCTTTTGCTGGAGAGAGACCTTCTCTCATTGTATTGGTGCTATCGTGAGCTGAAAAACCTTGTATTGGTTTGCGAGATCGGTACCCGAGAGTATGCTGTGAGGAGTTATATCGATTCCTGCGACCTCGGCAATCCTGTTCGGGTTTTTCAGAAAAGGGATTTTTTTTACAGAGTACATGAGTGTAGTGATTTATAAATAGAGCTAACAACGTACCTTTTGAATGCCGTCGAAAATTTAAGCACGAAACTATTTTTGATGTGAGAGTGTGAAGAATAGGGTAGCTATGATATAAATAACCCATACTCACAACCATACCCGTGCCTCACACCTTCGCGCCCTACCCATTCACATCCGGTGGCATTGTTTAAAAACAGCTCCAATAAAGTCTTCTTTGATCTGAAAGCTGTTAGCGCAATCCCTTGCGGGATTAAAAATGTGAAACACGA